CGGGATCGGTCCCAATATGCCATGAACAGTAACTTCCTTTTTTTTTTTTAGGTTACATTTGGTGAATTTTAAAATTTTTCATTGATAATATATTTAAAGTTTTACATATTTTAAGTCATTATTTTAAGTAATTATTCCAAATATATTTTATTTTTTTATAAATACATTTATTTTGGAGGGTAAAATATATTTTTGCATTATTTGGTAATAGTACGTAATTATTAAATAAAATAAATCTGTTTTCTTTATTTTTTATTTGTTTTTTCACATGATATATACGGACCGATCCCGGTCCGTATATAGTTATACGGACCGGGATCGGTTTGTATATTCAGTGAATAGCAGCTTTTTTTATTTTTTCTCGGTTACATTTGGTTAACTTTAAAATCTTTTATGAATATATGTTTATACTTACTAAATAAGTATAATTTTTATTAAGTATATAAATTCATACTTAATTTTTATTAAGTATATAAGAAATCCTTCGGAGTGCATATATTCGGACCGATACCGGTCTGTATATATATACAGACCGAGATCGGTCCGTATATGCCCTTAACAACAGCTTTTTATTTTTTTTGTTATTTCATGCTTAACTCGTTCTACTTTCATTTTAAATTGTAACATTCCGAATGTTTGCAAGCCGAAGTGGTTAACCTAAATAAAAAAAATTAATTTTATTTGCTTGTGGCTCCAAAAGAGCATTACGTAACATTATCTCTAATAACCTTTAACTTATACGTTCGTGGTTTTGCAATGATATTACTCTGTACCATCGTAAGATAATTTCAGGTAGACAATCGATGGTTTTGTGGTTCCAAAGGACTGTAGGGTTGATGTACATGCAATTGGTTTTCGCAAGAATGGATTTAGGACACGAGAAGATGGTAATGTCCTTAAATGAAAAGAATAAAATGTGAACTGAGAGAAGTTTCTGGATTTGTCGAGTATATTCGGACCAAAATTGGTCTGAAAAATGAAAACATGGAAGCTTCTGGATTCTTTGCATATATTCAGACCAAAATTGGTCCGTATATATATTCATACTTAATTTAATTTAGCTGTAGGATAAAAAAAATCCCTTGGATTGCCCATATTCGGACCGAAACCGATCCGTATATATGGATTGAGGACACGAGGAGATTGTAATGTCCTTAAATGAAAAGAATGAAAATGTGCACTGTGAATTTTTTCCCAATATATTCGGACCAAAATCGGTCCGAATATATTATTAATGCGCCAAAAATTTCCCGAAAAGATTGAAAGTTTTTGATGCGCCGGAAATTTTTTCCCAATATATTCGGACCAAAATCGGTCCGAATATAAGCCTTATCCCTTGTTTTCTAAATACATATACGGACCGAAATCGGTCCGTAATTAATTTATGCGTCAATTTTTTACTGTAAATTTGAATTTTTTGATTCTGTGCTAATTCATTTATATTCAAACCGATTTCGATCTGATTATTATTAATGCGCCAAAAATTTTCCCGAAAAAATTTAAAGTTTTAGGTGCAGCGCGCCAATAAGGATTATACGGACCGAAAACGGTCCGTATAAGCCTTATATATATATCGCCACTTCTCTTCCTTTTCCTCATTTTCTCTTCTTCCTCTCTTTCTTTTCTGTTCTGCCTTCCGTCTCCTTCTTTTTCTTACTTTTTTTTTTCTACTTCCTTTTATTTGTCATTTCCTCTCTTCTTTTCTCATCTCTTCCCTTTTCTTTCTCATTTCCTTCTATTTCCTTTTCTTTCCTCTCTTTTTTCTCTCCACTTCTTCATC